CCATTAGCAATTGACCCTTCGCTAAGCCACACCAAAAAACTGCCACCCACCTTGCTTAGCAACCGTAGCTACACACAGGGGCTCTGTCAAGCTTTCGAGCGAAGGAAACAGGCCATAGCGTTGTGCATATGGATTTGCAAATCTGACACCCGGTATCTTAAAAGTTTGGTCGGGATGGTGGAATGTTTTCCCTTTTCAAAACCTAAATGCCAGGAGGAGAAACGCCAGCATGGATTAAGTTTGGTTAGGGGCGCTAATGGAGCGGAGCTAAGTTGGTTTTGCTTTAATATTCCTGACACATTCAGTGACCGACAGCAATTACTCACACACCTCTTACCCTAAACAGATCTAAACTGTGCTTCCTACAAAAACACAAAGCAAGTCATGTTCTCCAGCTGTTCCGTTTAAGCTCTCGCCATAGTAACGTTAGTCAAACTAATCCGCATGTTAAGTGTGACGTCACACGAAGCGGCTTCTGGGTCAAAGCGCTCTATTCAACTGTTCAAAAATACAGCCTTAAAACCTAGAGGAAATTTATTTGGAATGTATATTTCGACGATATTGTGTGGAAAAAAGCTTGGTTGCTTCCTTTTCGTTTTTGCGTAGGTAATAAATACAGGAAACTACATTTAAGAATTTTACATAGCATTTATGTTAGTAATCACACATTAACTAAATTTATGCAGACGGATGGAAACTGTTCTTTCTGTTAACATCACCCTGAGACGTTGATTCATCTTTTTTTATGATTGTGAATATTCGAAAAAAATTTGGTAAGATCTATCATTGTATGTCAAAAAAAATCAGGTTTTAGTTGCAATTTGACCCCCAAAGATGTTATTTTTATTTTGTTTCAAACAATTTGTCTGTGGAATTTTTATTGAATCTTTTAATTTTGTTCGGTAAATTTCATGTTCATAAAAGCAGGTTAAATAACACTAAACCTTGTTTAAAGGTCGCTATTACAGATTTTCTTTTGTATATAGAATCGCTCCAATATATTAAGAGCGAAAAATGTATAAATACAATTATTGTGGCAAAGGAGCTGAAGTTAATTGATTAGTATTCTTGCTGTCAATTGGTTAAGTTAAAATATTATCATTGTAAAGATCTTTAAGTTGAATTGTCTTCTTATTTATTTAATTTATGTAATTTATTTTTTAGTTTGTTATTAGTTTTGTGTTTTTTTGGATGTCATGTTTAAATTGTATATTTGTTGTTCAATAATAATAATAAAAAAGCGCTCTATTCAACTGTATGGAGAGACTCATGAAATGGTAATAATAAACATTTACAAAGCAATTTAATTCTTTCAAAAATCACAATCGCAATATATATGTCCATGCCAAATATCCAATGACCAGAAAGTGATTAATTTTTTTAGAAATTGTTACATTTTTGGTATTTTGTTATGCAGCAAGCCCAGAGATTGTTGTGTACACTATGGTTTTACATAAAATTAACTTTAATGTGTGATAGGAATAAAACGTGATCGTAAATGAATGATTTCTCAACTCAAATGAATGGCGGCTTGGACCCGGAGACAGTATTACATACGTCACCACTTAACAAGCGGATAGCGAATAGGTCATGAGTTATTGATACGGGAAATACGAATCGCGAATCTGTTGCTAACTTTACTGAGCTTTATATTTCCATCTGTTTCAAGCTACGAATATTTGAAATCACTAATCAACAGAACAAAACAGAGATGTGATCACAAACTGAGCACTTGCGATCAATATACATCACCTGCAGCTGTTTTTCAGTCATTTATAAAGAACACGCAAACATACTGACAGTTATAGGTAACTTACTGTACATTGTTATGGTCAATGATGCTAATATTCGGCACAAATCCATCAATTTCCCCTTTCTGGCTGCTCTTTCTATGAATGAATTATGTAAAAGCTCTGTCCATGCGTGTTTCCTCGTCGATTAGTAACGCTATTTTTCATTACACAACAACAATCTATCAGATTTTTTGGCTAAAAATAGAGAAATCATGAACTAAGCTGAACTAAGCGACTAGGTAGGTAGGTAGGTTACTTTATTTATACCCGCCCTGCTGAAAAATCCGGCTTAAACCAGCCTAGGCTGGTTGGCTGGTTTTAGCTGGTCAACTATGCTGGTTTTAGAGGGGTTTTAGCCATTTCCAGGCTGGTTTCCAGCCATTTCCAGCCTGGTCTTAGCTGGTCAGGCTGGAAAATGACCAGCTAAATCCAGCTAAAACCAGCTTGACCAGCCTGGTTTAAGCTGGACATAGCTGGTTTTGTCTGTGCTCCCAGCTTGGCTAGGCTGGTCAAGCTGGTTTTAGCTGGTCATCTCCCAGCCTTTCACCAGGCTGGAAATGGCTGGAAACCAGCCTGGAAATGGCCAAAACCCCTCTAAAACCAGCCTGGTCGACCAGCTAAAACCAGCCAACCAGCCTATGCTGGTTTAAGCTGGATTTTTCAGCAGGGCGAAGGTAGATTTGATTTGCAGTCAAGAGTCCTCATCTCTCAACAGTGCCACACAAAGCGACTCACACAGTAACAACAACAAATGCACATTAAGACATAAAACGTAAACATAAAGAATAAATAAATAATCACTTTAAGTGCCCCATCCCCCCCCCCCCCCTCCCCCTCCCCCAAGTAAATATTTAAAATGATCTAAAAAATACAGGTCACTGAAACATCTCTGCTTAAGTCTTATTTAAATGTCTAATGGCTGGTGGTATGAAACTATTTTTGTAATGTTTCATTTTACAGCCTAATACTAGAAACCTACGACCGGAGGGAAGGCTTTAGTTTTAATTATTATTATTAGTATTAATTATTTAATTATTATAATTATTCTCTATTGGGTTGCCTATTAAGTCGTTAATATACTTCTGTAAGGCATACTGCAGTCCTTTTATGTCTGGCTTTCTCGGATATCTCGCCTGTTCGCCAAAAATGACTAATTATATTACTGGGAATGTCTGAGAAAGGCGCATACACATTGTAAAAAGCCTGCCAGGCTTGACAGGTGTAGCAACAGTAACTAGGGAGGGCGGGGCTTAGCGAAGGGTCAATTGTTTTGGCTTGTTAGTATTTTCTTTGGTTAATGCTCCAAAAAGCTGTTTGCCAACCGCAAAAAAAAAACAATCAAAAGAAGAAGACAAGAAGATTTTTTTTGGCGCGTTCTTGACGGTCCTCCCCTCCCGCCCCTTGATCACGTCAGCAATGACGCCTTCATTGAGCGTCGAGTCTTCAGAGCTGAGGTGAGTCGTTGACGCTTTTTCTCGTGTTTACACAACAATAAAACACACTTTACAGTTTATTAAAGCGACAATCTGCGACTAGTTTCTGCATTGAGTTCACCTCTATCTGTGTGTCTGCTGACCAAAACAATACAGCAGGCAGAGAGCAGCTCCGAGAGGACAATATGAGCTCAGTGTTTGTGTTTAGGCAATTGTGTACCGTTTTTTTTTTTTTTTTTTACAGTTTGGATTACTAATATCGCTAAGTATGATTTGTGAATATCAATATTGCCATATGAAGGAAGTTTGACACTGAAAACGTTAAATATTTGTAGTGCTCTTTATGTATTGAAATGTTTTTATAATGTCCAGTTTCTGTAGATTCCACACATTTAGTGCTAACATTTAAACTACCATATTGTTATGTATCGTTACTCATTTAATCTAGATATTGATATAAATGCACTTTTTAAAAATTACAGTAGTAATTAGACTATCTGTTGATCCCCAATGGCTGTGTTTATAGTCTGAGGCTCGTTAATATTATAAAAGCTCCTGTTCCTGTTTTTACTTCATTCATTATACTGACATCTTAAAATGTACTAATAAGATTGATTGTGTTGGTTTCAAGAGTAATTATACAAGAGTCAGAAATTGAGATCGTTTCGTCATATAGGTACCTGGGTGTATATTTGAACAACAAGCTCGATTGGTCTGAAAACACAATCCAGGTGTATAAGAAGGGTCAGAGCCGCATTCATTTATTAAGACGACTGAGGTCCTGTGGTGTGTGTCAGACACTGTTAAAAACTTTTTATGACTCTGTGGTGTCTTCTGTGATTCTGTATGCTGTAACCTGCTGGGGAGGGGGACTGTTGGAGAGGGAGAAAAACAAATTAAATAAGCTCATAAAAAGGGCAGGTTCTGTTGTGGGGGGTGCACTACCTACCATAGAAGAGATTGCACAGGATCGAATGCTGGACAAATTTGTTAGTATAATGAACCACGATAGTCATCCCCTTTTTGATACAGTCCAAGCGTGTGCAAGCTCTTTTAGTACAAGATTAATTCAACCCCGGGGCTACAGAGAAAGATACAGGAAGTCTTTTTTACCAACAGTGATCAGATTGTATAACCAAAGTCATACCAGATGAATTGTGCTGAACTTGAATTAGATATTGGATATGTACAAGTGTTTACTCGTTGTTTTTGGAACCAAGGTGTGCAGTATGAAATGTAATCTTATTATTGTTTTTATATGTATGTAACTTATTTATCTATTTTTAGTATGGAGAGCTCTGCTGTGACATGTAAATTTCCCTCCGGGCATTAACAAAGTCTAACTAACTAACTAAATAACTAACAGACTTAAGTAAATTATGTAATTACCTATTATTATCTACAAGGTATAAATATAATATGATTTATTCTTATCAAGCAGTGTAAATTGTGCAGATTTTTCTGTTTATTATTTTGCAGCTCGTCCTCCTTCAGTTCAGGTGTAAATACTGGAGTATTCCCATCAGTCTACAAGTGAAGACGAGCATCAGACCATCAGGAAGAAGAGAAATCTGCAAAGACAGAGTTTATTGAAGGACAGTGAGAAGATGAGTGATCCAGAACCCTGCAGAATTAAACAGGAAGACACTGAAGAACTAATAGGTTTGTGTTTATTCATTACTCTTCAAAACTTTTTATTCACACATCCTCCTAAACGCATTTAGCAATTTTTTAAACTAGCCTCTTAAAATGAACTTGTTTACCTAACTTTCAGGTGTGATGGTGAAGGAGGAGAGTGAAGAGCTGAGTGAAGATGAGGAGAAACATCAGGTCAAAAGTGAAGAAGAAACTGAACATAGTCTTTTAGTGGTAAATGATTTGACCTGCCCTCAGTGTGGGAAGATTTTCAAGCACAAATGCAGTGTCAAGCTTCACATGATGATCCACACCGGAGAGAAACCCTACCAGTGTTCACACTGCGACAAGAGATTCAGCCGTTCGGGATTCCTGAAAACACACGAGAGGATCCACACCGGGGAGAAACCGTATCACTGCACTGAGTGTGGGAAGAGTTTCAATCAATCATCTTCTCTGCGAACACACACCAAACACAATCACAGTAGGTAGATCACCTAAAGATCCGGCTCTTCGAGATCATACTATTTAGGATAATTGTGCAGTTGATAACAGAGGTAAAAGACATAATTAGCCTTGCTTCCACTGTCATGCATAAAGCAAGCATGCCTTGGCCAGCTGAATACCTTGGGCTAAAGTAAAGTTTTGACCGAAGACGGGTAAAGAGGCTTCACAGAGATCGCTCTGGCTTACATTAACAAAAAACAGCAATTATTACTAAAGGCTGATTTATACTTCTGCGTCAAACGCTGGCGTATGCTACAGCACTGACGCATAGCCCTTCGCCGTGGCCGTCGGCGTGACTGACGTGCACCTCTCAAAAAATTTAACTACACGTCGCAACGACGCGTAGCGCAAGCTCTGTGATTGGTCAGCTTGGTAGCGCTGATAAATCTGGGCGGGACAGAGAGCCGCGCGAATGGCGCGAGCCCAGCGTAGCGAATGTTTACAAGTGTGGAGTCCCGTGAAGAAGCTCCGGATGGAAAGTTTTGTTTTGTGTTTACCTCATAGTTAAAGTTGTTGCACGTCCGCCAGTTCCTGCCTCAAAATGAGCGAGTTTGAGCCACTTGTACATTCAGGAAGTGTTCAGGAAAAGCAAAACAGAAGCGAAGAAACTCGACACAGAGGAACATTTACACCTCACTGCCATCTAGCGTTTCGGAAGTGTTAATGCAGACCGACAGAGACAGCGCACATAAGTATAAATGCACAGCTACGCACCTTGCATGCGCCGTGGATTACACCGGTCACTTGACGCAGAAGTATAAACCAGGCTTAAGTCATACTCAAGGCTAAATTATCATCGATTAATCATTTGTTCCCCTACTTCCCATTTCTCTCTTAAAAAGTAACTTTTTCTCTTTATATAATTTGCAGATCTGATGGTGGAGGATGAAAGTGAAGAACTGAGTGAGGTTGAGAAGCTCCACTATAGCGTTCATATGAACGAGAAGCTTTATTTATGCTCTGTGTGTGGAAAGAGTTTCACACTGCAGTCAAGACTAAGACAACACCAGATGCTTCACACTGGAGAGAAACCCAAACCGTACGCATGCACTCAGTGTGGGAGGAGCTTCACACAGTCATCGCACCTGAATCGACACATGAAGATCCACTTTGGCGTGAGGGAGCATGTGTGCTTTGAGTGCGGGAAGACTTTTATCACAGCTGGAGACTTGAAACGACACCAGAGGATCCACACTGGACAGAGAACACACGCGTGTGATCGGTGCGGCAGGACATTTTTTAGGCCTTCGAACCTTCAGAAACATCTTCTAGTTCATGCAGAGGAGAAGACGCATTCATGCGCTCTGTTAGTCAAGACCTTTGTTAGTTTGCCTTCTTGAAATCTCTCCTCTGTATTCACAAACATCAGATTTTGTAGGTGAATGTTTCATTCATTCATATATTCATTTTCTTGTTGGCTTAGTCCCTTTATTAATCTGTGGTCGCCACAGCGGAATGAACCGCCAACTCATCCAGCAAGTTTTTACGCTGCGGATGCCCTTTCAGGTGCAACCCATCTCTGGGAAACATCCACACACACACTCATACACTACGGACAATTTACCCTACCCAATTCACCTGTACCGCATGTCTTTGGACTGTGGGGGAAACCCACGCGAACGCAAGGAGAACATGCAAACTCCACACAGAAACGCCAACTGAGCCGAGGGTCGAATCAACTGTGCCACTGCTTCGCCCAGGTGAATGTTTGTATGTTAATAAACTCCACTCGTTTTGGACTCCATCACAATTATATTCAATTCAATAATTTTCCTTCGGCTTAGTCCCTTATTTATCATGGGTCGCCACAGTGACATGAACCGCCAACTTATCCAGCAAATGATTTACACAGTTGGCAGTTCATTCCGCTGTGGCGACCCCTGATGAATAAAGGGACTAAGCCGAAGGATGAATGATTAAATAAAGTCAAGAGTATTTAAATGAATCAAAAAGCATGTAGACTGTGGACTGGAAACATCAGTGGGTCTCGTTCACTAAACATGCGAACGCACAAATTTATATGTGAAATGTGGGTACAGACTTTTTCATGATTAAAACATGATTAATCAAAAACCTTCATATTAAAATGTATTAAATCTACAAAAAACGTTCAAGAACAATTTACAACTGCACATACAGTATAATAATGCATGGCCGGGGCCTTATAAACATGTATAAAGAACCTTATATAATTACAAAGGCTATTTACAGGGTAAATGAAAAGTAACTAGACATTAAAAATATATAATACAGTTTATGTTTATATATATATATATATACCTGCCTTAATCCTTCATGGTATAGATTCAACAAGGGACTGGAAATATTCCTGAGATTTTGCTCCATATTGACATGATAGCATCACACAGTTGCTGCAGATTTGTCGGCTGCACATCCATGATACCAATCTCCCATTCCAACACATCCCAAAGGTGCACTATTGGATTGAGCTCTGGTGACTGTGGAGGCCAGTTGAGTACAGTGAACTCATTGTAATGTTCATGAAACCAGTCTGAGATGGTTCAAGCTTTATGACATGGTGTGTTATCCTGCTGGAAGTAGCCATCAGAAGATCACTGCTTATAAAGGGATGGACATGGTCAGCAACAATACTCAGGTAGGCTGTGTCGTTGAAACGACACAAATGGGCCCAAAGTGTATGTATGTATGTGTGTGTGTGTGTGTGTGTGTGTGTGTATATATATATATATATATATATATATATATATACCCTTCTGAAAAATCCAGCTTAAACCAGCCTAGGCTGGTTGGCTGGTTTTAGCTGGTCGACCAGGCTTTGGCCACTTCCAAGCTGGTTTCCAGCCATTTCCAGCCTGGTCTTAGCTGGTCAGGCTGAGAGATGACCAGCTAAAACCAGCTTGACCAGCCTAGCCAAGCTGGGAGTCCAGCCAAAACCAGCTATATCCAGCTTAAACCAGGCTGGTCAAGCTGGTTTTAGCTGGATTTGGCTGGTCATTTTAATGAAATGACCAAAACCCCTCTAAAACCAGGCTGGTCAACCAGCTAAAACCAGCCAACCAGCCTAGGCTGGTTTAAGCTGGATTTTTCAGCAGGGTATATATACACACACACACATTTTTATTTGCTTCAGGCAGTGGTTTTCAAATTCAAACTTATTATCTCTTGATATTTTGTTAAAAAAAACTTAATTTTACCAATTGTAGATAAATAATTTTACGTTTTATATTTGTTATATCTGTCAGCCATGACGTTTCACGTTTTCTTCTTAATTTTAACTGCCCAATAAACAGTATCTCTGCTTGACATTCGCTGCGGTGTGAAAGAGGATTAATATAGCTTTTGTATATGTTAGCAAATGTTTTTGGTTTCAACAGTTTGGCGCTTTTTTGACGGTTTTCCGTTGCTCCCGCCTCGCCGTGATGACGTCAGCACTGACGCGTTCGTCCAGCGTCGAATCTTCAGAGCTAAGGTGAGTCGTTGACGCTTTTTCTCGTGTTTACACAACAATAAAACGCACTTTACAGTTTATTAAAGCGACAATCTGCGACTAGTTTCTGCATTGAGTTCACCTCTATCTGTGTGTCTGCTGACCAAAACAATACAGCAGGCGGAGGAGCTCTGAGAGGAATACATGAACGGACTATTTGTGTTTTTCTGTGTGTACCGTTTTTAATGTTTGGTGAAACGGGAATGGGAATGTACTTAGTATATGAGTGAAGTTTTAGACTGAAAGCTCTAAATTATTGGTTTGTGTTGCTCTTTATTTTATTTTATTTTATTTTATTGAAGTTTGTTTCTGTGGAGACCACACAGTTGCGCTATTGCAGACAATTACTTTGTTGGTATGGATAACTACTTATTTACCCTAGATATTGCTTTAATAAAAATATATTTATATATATATTGTTTTTAAAGTTATTACAATAGTAATAAGTTTACGCTGAAAACATTCAGTATCTGATCTGCTGTTGATCCTGAGTGTTTATAGCAGGGGTCAGCAACCCTGTTCCTGGAGAGCTTCCTTTGCATATTTCAGTTGCAACCCTGACCAAACACACCTGTTTGTAATTATCAAGTGCTGCTTTAGGTACTATCAATTGGTTCAGGTGTGTTTGATCAGGGTTGGGACTGAATTCTGCAGGAAGGTAGCTCTCCAGGAACAGGGTTGGTGACCCTTGGTTAATAGTCTGAGGCTCATCAAGATGATCAGAGCTGCTGAAATAGCAATCTCAATAGTTCACATTTTCCCCTCATTTATTATACATGGGTCTTAAGATCTACAAAATGCCACATTAAGTTAATTTTAAAGCTGTCAGACAAGATATAATCATGTTTTATTTCATCAATCAGTGTAAATGAATCAGATTTCTGTTTGTTCTCCTGAAGCTCTGCCGCCATCAGTGAAAGACAAAGACAGAGTTTATTGAAGGACAGTGAGAAGATGAGTGATCCAGAACCCTGCAGAATTAAACAGGAAGACACTGAAGAACTAATAGGTTTGTGTTTATTCATCACTCTTCTACAGTGAGGCTCAGCAACAGTGAGGTTGTGCAGCTTTAAGCACTTCAACCGGTATTATTTTTGACCTTTTATGTGTTTGGAATATAAAACCCACCTAATTAACTTTGCAACTCAAACTCTGGTTTTTAGTCAGTTAAAATTCAATAGTAAAACTAATAAATAAAATCATTAGCTGATCAGTCATTGAATAGTGAGACCCACATATATCTGTATCTTAGAGATGGATCCTCTGACAGACACGGCTTTAAAACGATATAGTCATCATTGTAAATGCTGTGTGAAGAGCTGACCATTGTAACCAATCACAGACATAGACACAGTGACCGATCAATGGTGTTTAAGCACTTAAAGGTGGGTTTAATAATGTCAGTGTTATTTCAGTTAATTGTGCCCACCGCTGTAGGATTAAGTCCATGCCAAAATAATCATTAATAAAGTTCTGAAAGGTTTAAGAGAATTGCAAGTGTTCACGTGATCCTCTTTCAGCTTGCTCAGAGGCCAGTTGTGTTCTGTGTGCTGTACATTTACATTTAGTCATTTAGCAGACGCTTTTATCCAAAGCGACTTACAAAGCAATTTACACAACTATAAGAGCAACAATGAATAAGTGCTGTAGGCAAGTTTCAGGTATGTAAAGAAAGTGTAAGAAGCAAAACAGTAGTCATTTATTTTATTATTATTATTTTTTATAATGTAGTAAATGGAGGGGTCAGAGAGGCAATTGCAGATTATTAAGGGAAGTGGAGACTAAATAGTTGAGTTTTTAGTCTTTCTTGAAGACAGCGAGTGACTCTGCCGTTCTGATGCAGTTAGGGAGTTCATTCCACCAACTGGGCAGATTGAACGCGAGAGTTCGGGAAAGTGATTTCTTCCCTCTTTGGGATGGAACCACGAGGCGACGTTCATTCACAGAACGCAAGTTTCTGGAGTGCACATAGATCTGCAGAAGTGAGAGCAGATAAGAAGGAGCAAAACCAGAAGTCACTTTGTAGGCAAACATCAGAGCTTTGAATTTGATGCGAGCGGCAACTGGCAGCCAGTGCAAACGGATGAGCAGCGGAGTGACATGTGCTCTTTTAGGTTCATTAAAGACCACTCGTGCTGCTGCATTCTGAAGAGGTTTAATAGAGCTAGCTGGGAGCCCGGATAGTAGAGAGTTGCAATAGTCCAGTCTGGAGAGAACAAGAGCTTGAACAAGGAGTTGAGCTGCATGTTCAGATAGGAAGGGTCGGACCTTTCTGATGTTATAGAGTGCGAATCTGCACGATCGAGCAGTTCTAGAGATTTGGTCAGAGAAGTTTAGCTGGTCATCAATCATTACTCCAAGGCTTTTCATTATTTTGGATGCAGTAATGGTTGCCCAGTCCATCTGTTGCAGCAGATGGCCACCCAGAGTGACTGGCAGCTACAAAGTCGCTGCTAGTGTGAATGAGGCGTTAGACCAGGGATGGGCAAACTTGATCCTCGAGGGCCGGTGTCCCTGCATAGTTTTGTTCCAACACTAGTCAAACACACCTGAACAAACTAATCAGTGTCTTCAAGATCACTTGAACTCTGTAGGGAGGTCTGTTTGAATAGAGTTGGAGCTGAACTATGCAGGACACCGGCCCTCCAGGATCAAGTTTGCCCACACCTGCGTTACACACTAGTATTCAGGTGCATGTTTGTGTGTTATTTATATATTTGTACTGCAATTTGCAAAATTGCAACATTTCAGATTGCGTTTTTAAAACTTTATTATTTAAAATGAGGGTTACAAAAAATCCCTTTTAAATGTTGATGTTTTAAATGCAAGTCTTGAATATTAGTGGAAAAAAAACAAACATATTTGATCGTTTAACATTAAAAATAGTATGAATCTTGATGGAAAGAGATTAAGAATATTACAATTTTGTGTATTTCCTTCGGCTTAGTCACGTATTTATCAAGGGTCGCCACAGCTGAATGAACCACCAACTTATCAATTCAATTCATCTTTATTTTTACAGCGCTTTTATTATGTAGATTGTGTCAAAGCAGCTTAACATAGAAGTTTTAGTGGATTGAAACCGCGTCAGTCCAGTTTTCAGAGTATTCAGCATGTTTTACACAGCGGATGCCCTTCCAGCTGCAACCCAGTACTGGAAAACACCCATACACACTCACATTTACACTCGCACACATACACTACGGCCTATTTAGTTTATAAATTCACCAATAGCGCATGTGTTTGGACTGTGGGGGAAACCGGAGCATCCGGAGGGAACCCACGCCAACACATGGAGAACATGCAAACTCCACACAGAAATGCCAACGGGCCCAGCTGTGACTCAATCCAGCAACCTTCCTGCTATTAGGCGATTGTGCTAACCACTGTGTTGCTTTTGTGTACTTCTAATTCACATTCACAATTGATTGATTTACCTATTTTAATATTTCAGACCTGGCGGACAAGACGGAGGAGAGCGAGGGACAGAGTGTCAAAAATAGACAACCAAAATCCCGTGCATGGACAAAAGGTGCTGCTTCTCAGAAGAGCAGAGGTGAGATTTGCTCTGTGTGCGGAAAGAGTTTCAGTAATAAGCGTAATCTTCAAATTCACACGAGGATTCACACTGGGGAGAAACCGTACACGTGTCCTGAGTGCGGGAAGAGCTTCAATCAGTCGTCGACTCTCATCACACACACGAGGATCCACACTGGGGAGAAACCGTACAAGTGTGGTCAGTGCGACAGAACGTTTGTGAGGATTTCAGATCAGAAGAAACATTTCAGAGTTCACAGCAAGGATAAGCCCTACTCATGCTCTGACTGCGGAAAGAGATTTGCACATCAGTCGAATTTAAGTAAACACCAGAAGATCCACAGCGGTGTGAGAGAGCATGTGTGCTTCGAGTGTGGGAAGAGCTTTGTCACAGCTGAACATTTGAAACAGCACCAGAGGATTCACACTGGAGAGAAACCGTACAAGTGTTCACACTGCGACAAAGCTTTCAATCAGTTAATACACCTGAAAATACACGAGAGGACTCACACTGGAGAGAAACCGTACAAGTGTTCCCACTGCGGCAAGACGTTCAGTCAGTCACCAACCCTCAAAGCGCACAGCAGGACTCACACTGGAGAGAGACCGTACGTTTGTGTTGAATGTGGAGAGAGTTTCAATCATTTGCTTTCTCTACGCATTCATATAAGAAAGAGTCACATTAAATGTGAACTTGCCGATATTTAAACACACTTGACCACCGTGTCGGACTGTTGCAGAAGACCAGATATCAGTAAGTCTAGTGAGTTAGGTGGGTAATAAGCAGGGGTGCACATCAGTTTATTGATTCAGCTCTCAAAGGAGAACCCGACAGACGTAGCCAATTATTACGCCCCAAGTCTAGGGGAAACAAAAAGGGCGTAATAAACGAAGAAGAAAAAAACAAATGTGTTGGGGTGGTGGATTTCCCAAACTAAACAAGCTTCCCAAACTTCTGCGTTCACACAGTGCAGCATTCTGGCAAATTACCAGTAATGTTGCAACTTCTCTTTCCGGAAAATAGCCAGAACGGATTTACCGGTATTTTCCAAAAAGGGCCTGTTCACACATACACACCTTTACGAAATATTTTCCGGAAAGGTCTGTATGTGTGAAAGGGGCTTGTCACTTCCATACAAAAAAAATTGCTGGTTCAAGAAAAGTAACTTTAAGTCACGATTTGCCAGGTGTTTAATTTCGGGCTTGATTGAACACATATTTTAGGAATGCACAATATATCGGCGGCCATATCGTTATCGGCTGATAAATGCTTTTTTTCCCCCAAGTTCTGCTGGTTGACGCATGTGCCGAATTTTCCTTGCCAATCTTAAGCCAATTGTAATCGTTTGTTTTGGTTCAATTAGAAAATTCCACAACCTTGGCAGAGCTCGGAGGATCAGAGCGAGCGCTCCTACTTGGCCCCATTCTGATCTGACAACTGCTATTTTTAATGCTGTCGTTATCGGTTCAATATCAAAATTAAATACAATGAAAAATTGTACATTTCAGATTCAGTGTGCAAAAACCTTAACAATCGTAGATTAAACCAGTTAAACATCGAATTTTGCTTTACAATTTAAAGGGCTAGCATTGCAGTGGTTTGGTTTGAAAGTGTAGAATCGATATTTTATGCACATATGCATCACTTTGGTTTTTATCCCACTGTAAAAAAGTCATTTACACTTAAATACACAGTACTTTGGATACCCGAGCTGGGTATTTTACATTGGTTCATTGATCCCTGTGGCTTGTACCTCTCATCCGTTGGAATACAATAACTTTTGCATAGATTATGGTGGAGACATGTTTCTTTTTTCCTATGATTACAGACATGTGCAGGAACCACCAACATTAATTACAGCACGCTAGACCACACACAACCTAAACGGTGCACTTTCACATTTGAGTTTATAAAAAAAAAAAATACAAAAAGCGCCTCCTATTTTAGGTGTTTATTATAACACAGACGACATATACAGATATTTTAAACACTTTCAATAGTGTTTTATGAAAACTCAAATGGTTTTCTTTAAAATAATACCAAATTTTTGCATTTACACCTCTGCATGTGGATTTGGGAAGCTTTTATATCTGGGTAGGCAAAATCCAGGCGGAAATCCCAAAATAACAGCAGAGTTTAACTGGATGAGTCTAGTAATTTAGATGGGTAATCAGCAGGGCCCGGTTTTTCAAAAGGTTTAATCCGGATCAAATTGATCTGGATTTAGTAATCCTGTTTTTGCGATCCGTGATCACGTAATCCAGCTTACTTTTTGAGCCAGTTTTTCAAAGCAACATCGGATTGGATCAATCTGATCCGGATAGGAACTTTTCAGGATCACTAAATCTGGATTACCAGTGCTCAAACACAATGTAGATAAATAGATAGGCCTGTGTAAAGAGCAACAAGTAGAATAGCCAGTGTGGGGTCAATATAACTTTATTTTTATTTAAAATGAAAACTAAGAAAATTTAATATATAAATATATAAAATAATAATAATAAATAATAAAAACAAGAAAAACCCCACCCCATCCTCTTCCAGCAGTCCGCTCATCTGAGACCTACAACACTGTACATTGAGGATATTTATAATAAGTTTCAAATATAGATGTAAATAAAAAAAAAAGACTTAATGTCAAAAACTCCACAATAATGTCAGACTTCCTCATCTGATGTGGAGAGAGCAGCTTGTCTGAGCGCAGCCTTTAGGAGGCCGATCTCAAGTCTGGCCTTGGTTTGCAGCAATTTGGAGTCACTTGTTCCTCTGCCAGATGAAGCTGTGTTTCTGCCCTTTCAGTCTCTTTTTGCAATTGATGAAAGAGATTTCTAAAATCAGTCATTGCCATTCTTTGCACTTTTTTTTTTTGGTTATTCTGTAATCATTGCATGCATCACTAATAAATATTCTAAAAACAAAAATATTTTCCATTGTGATGAATATAGATATCAATTATTGACAATAAAATGTATTGTTTTTGGAAAATTTTGACAGCTGTTTAGGGGATTATTTTATGAGGCCAAACTCTTTCTACTTTGCTGTAGGCCTACACTGAAAGGCTGAATACGTTAAAGCCAATAATCACTACAGCCTGACGGATGAACAAATACAGTTAAAACCTTATGAATCAATAGTATATCTCGTAAGATACTGTGTGATCCAAAAATAGTATTATTTAATAAAATTTTTAAGTTTTTATTACATTTTGGGCATGAAATCCACACTAAATCCACCTTTCTGGTGGGATCAGTTTAATCCAGGTTTTTTGGATCAAAGTGATCCAAATCCTACAAAAAAGGTCTGAAAAACCCAAAGTAAAGGTTTGATCCAGATCAAAACCAAGATTGGATTACGTGATCTAATCCGATTAGGTAATCCGTTTTTTCCTTTGAAAAACACATTTCCAAGATTTGATCCAATCCCTTATCCAAAATCCCAGTGGATTACTTTTGAAAAACCGGGCCCCAGGAGTGCATGTCAGTTTTTTTGATTCAGCTCTCAAATGACATTCAGGAGATGTTGTGGACATTGTTTTAGTTCATCAAACAGTTGTTGAATGAATCGTGGTGTTTCCATGGCGCAGAACTGAAAACAATACACTTATTATCAATAAGCACCCCAGATAGCACAGACAGCTGTCATCTCTTACCTTATGCTGTGCGCTTCAGGGCCATTCTCCTCTGTTTTTGAGGTGATGTGCATAAGTAATCCTTTTATATGTCTGATGTGGTCCAGACACAGTGAATTATGTTTGATCAAACAAAAGAATAGTGAAATATGAAAACAGTGATCGCTCCCTGTGGCTTGTACAGCACCTCTCATCAGTTGGAATACAATAACTTTTGCATAGATTATGGTGGAGACATTTTCTTTTTTCCTATGATTACAGACATGTGCAGGAACCACCAACATTAATTACAGCACACTAGACCACACACAACCTAAAACACAACCTAAATTATTTAACCTTTTATTTTTATGCAAGTGAGTCAACTTGCATGTTGATTACTCGGCGAGGAAAAGAAAATCATTTATTTTTGGCCTGCTGATTTATGTGAAATCATGAATATGATCACCTTATATGATCAACATTAGCTATTCACTGTATAAAAATATAACATTTAGAAATATTTTATAAAGTTATTGATATCGGCACACAAATCCATTATCATTGGATCCCTAATATATTAATTTATACATCAGCTCTGTCTGGTTTTCAAATCTGATTGGCTCTTAGCTATGCAATATTCCACCAGTAGTTTCAGTCTACAGTGCCCGTAAATGTGTTAGGATATTCAGATATTATTCAGAAGTGTGTTGCGTGTCTATATTGTAGTTTATTGTGAAATGTTTTTTGTTTATGCTATATCTAAAGGCAATATGTTGCTCGGTCATCAGTTATTTATTCCAGAGCAAATAGATTTGAAAGCAGTGTTAAGTTTATCTTTATATATATGTTGATTGTACTGACTGGAAACTTGGTCATTATTTGTTTGACTGATTTACTTTGCATCTTTATGTTGTTGCTTGTTAAGTGTTACTGTTGAATAAATGACTTTTGGTATAAATTTTAATGATTTTAATTGAATAAAAATGTAGTACAATTTGTAATTGTAGCACTTGAGCAAAAGTAATTGAGGTTGATGTTACATTATGTATATATATGCATTGACTTTCCACATTTGTTGTGGGCCGCAGGCTTTACACTTTTATGTGTCAAGAGTATTTAGCAATTTATTTAGTTTTACTTTTAAAGGACTGTCTTTAGGATAGTACTCAAGATTATTAATCCTGTGGCGTGAGGCAGTGGTCCCCAATTATTTCATCAATGTTGTTCTGTCAATTTGTTCTACCTTGTCACATTCTCCTACCTCTCATTCAAAAAGCAGGTAGCACATTTTGATGACGCAATATGCTACCCATCAGATTTTGCAGTTGTCAATTGTTTTATAAGTTGTGGTGATTCTGTAGTTGCTATGGTAATGCAAGAACCATAGTAACAAATGATCCAACACTGTGGTTACAATAGCAAATATAAACTTACCACAACATAGAACACTACTGGACTATTTGTTTGTTACTACTGCATAGTTCTTGCATAACCATAGCAACTATAAAATCACCAGAACTTGGGTCATTTGTTTTGCAAGTTCTGGTGATTCTATAGTTTCTATGGTTACACAAGAACTATAGTAACAAACAAATGATCCAAAATTGAAGTTTTCTATTACTACAGTTGTTTTTACCATAGCAACTATAGACTTACTAGCAATCCACATCATTAAATTACTATAGATCTTGTGTCACCATAGCAACAGATTATTTCAAATACTTAAATATAGTATGGTTGAAAAACGCTACAGTATCTACTATAAACTACTAAATTATTTTTCATGCGGGATGTTAGCAGAAATGTTCACATCCAACAACAGTAGAACAAACCAATTTCTTTACTTATCAAAAAAAAGTAACACATTAAAACAGGGCTTTATGTACTGAACAGATGTCAGTGTGTTCTGTGTTCGTGTCTCAGCTGCTCTTCTCATCATTGGTTTTTCCTTTCGGCAGCCGGAATCGATTTTTCTTGGAGTAGAGCAGATTCTTGCTGAACAGCAGTGGGATATTTCCCAAATACAGGAAGACTGCAAGAAACACACCTGAAAAACACCAGATCAAGATCAAAACCCCATAGTAATGCTGTCTTAAACTAATCAATCAATTTAGACAATAAACTAAGGCTCTTAAAGAGACGGCGCACCCAAAAACTCGCACAAAAAAATACAAGTATTAGTTTTTGTTTTCTTTTGAACAATGTAGCATTCCAATACATTTACACTTGTTAATTTTCTCAGAGTGCAATAGCAAAAATGGGAGGGATAGCAGGTGTTTAAAATGTGAATGAATAAG